GTTCTCTTTCTAACAATTCATTTATCCTTACTAGATTAGACTGCAATAGCATAGTAATCTAGGCTTGGGATAAGTGAAAACATATAATTCTACAAAGCTGATCTTAGTAAGTACTTGAATAAAAAGCATATTGTTGTAATAGTAGTGTTCACATAGGAGGTTGTTCCTACCCTTTACAGATCTCTGTCGATGTGTTTAGGGATAATATGTAGTCATATCTGTAGATGAAATTTTTTAATCAGCAAAAAAAAATGAGTGAAATGGTAGCATTAAGCATAAGTGGTTATGTCTTAGTGCTAGTGCATCTGTCTTTTATCTTGGAGTGTGTGGAAATCTTCATCTTGAAAAGGAAAAGATCATGTAGTCATAGTAAAGGTCCACCATCATGGAGCCTTCATCTAGTAGCTGATGGAAACAGAAGCAAACACCCACAACTAAGCACTGAGCCGAAATGGAATCCAGATGCAGAGAGGGAGGACAAGACCAGGTTGCAGAAACACATAGATACAGCTGACCTGAACAAGGAGGAGCTAATGGGCCTCAGACTGATAGCTGGGAATCCAGCATGGGGCTGACTCAGACCCATTGAACATGGGTCTCAGCTAGAAGGACTGAGCAGTCTAAGGGATCTCAGACGGTGGAACCAGGATGTATTCCTGGTGTACAAAAAGACTTTGGGGGCACATCCCCCACGGAGGGATACTCTTTTAACCTAGAGGCCGGAGAGAAGTCCTAGTCCCTACTCTAAATGACCTGACAGATTTAGATGACCCCTCCTGGAGGGCATCACCCTACATGTGGAGTGTGTGGGGGGGAATAGAGAGAAGGGTATGGTGGGCATGAGAGGATTGGAGAGAGGGAAAGAAGGGGGGGATGGAGGGAAAGGGAACTGGCATTGATATGTAAAATAAAAATAAAATAATAGATTAAAAAATCTTTAAAAAAACGAAATGTAGTAAAGGTTACAGGGTAGTGGCTGGGGTAGTGAATGCATAGGGGTGATCACATTTTAATTTCTTATGAAAACTCACACCAAATGAGTAGCTGAATACTACTCACCAATTGGATGAGATACCTCTAATGTGAAACCACCATACCAGGTAGGCAGGATTTTTTCCCCACTGTACAGATAAGAAAACTAAGACTCGGAGAGATGAAGTAAGAATTTTCAACAGTTCTATGCAGTCCTTCTCCCTTAGGGAGAGCCTTGTAGAAGGGACTGAATGAGACAGCAGCAGACAGGGAGGGAAATGAAGACACCAAGGGAATAATAAACAGAGAAGGTGAGCAAGGCAAACAACTGAGGTCCTAAGAAGGTGCACAAATTTCAGCAAAGTGCCTGGGGAGGGAAAGGGGCAGGCCCTTTATGACAACATTATTCCCTGGGGCACAAGAGGCATCTCAGGAATAACCAGAAAGCTTCAAAACTGGAGGCATAATTGGAAAATTTGTTAACAGAATGTAAGGAAGGACAAGGGGGTTGTTTCAGGACTGAATGCAGCGTTACAGGAAGCCTCATACCACGTGTTGCACTCAATCCTAAGGGTAATCAGATTGCTAACAACTTCTCTCCCGCCTCTGTACGTTAGCAATAGAGAAGACACAATTTGCAGTGAGTTTTATTTAGCATTTCCAAAATGGATTTAAGCATTTTTTTTTACATACTTACTCCACTTGAATTCATGGTACAGACTTAAGTTCAACTATTTAATTTCAAATAAAATAAATCCTACCTAAGAATATGTGGCCATCTGTATGCTCTAGTTGGAATTCTGCTGGGAAGATTACTACGGCATGCTGATGGCCTGGAGGGGCAAACAAGTGATTTTTGAGAAACTTGAAATCGGTTTATTGGAGCTTAGCTTTTCCTTGGTTTTCTAAATGTAAGTGGCTTTTTTTTTTCTTAATGAAAGAAAAGCAGTCTAAATATGCCCAGCAATCCAGTGAAATATTTCCAAGAGTCTAAAAGACAACAGCGAGACATGGGGATCCTTCTCAGGGCTTATTTTTATGTCTCCCTTCTATTTTCATTAAAGTAATTATCCGTGATTAAATAATCAGGACCCAGGTGGAAGCCAAAGACTTAAGTTGTGTGCTGCAGCTCTAGCAGGTAGCCTGGGTCCTGCTATACAGATCACAACACCTGTAAACCAGTTCCTGTCCTCCAGTATCTCCCATCAGGAGCCACCAGGGAGCAGCAGATGACTAAGCCGCTTACTGTTTCTCCTCCAGCGAGAGGCTTGCATGGAAATGAATGGGAAAGATCACATGGAGGGGAGGAAGGAAGAACAATAATGGTACCAATATTCACATCTATGTGACTTTATGATCTTGGCCTATACTGAGCAAGAAGTATCTTTTTAGTCCCTTTGCAAGGATCACCAATCTGGTTATCAAGAATGGGAGAACGAAAATTCATTCAAAATCATTCCATTTGTGCACAACACAGGCTTTGAAGAAAGACACCCAACATTTGAATCCCAAGTTTACCATATGCACACGCTTCAGCCATGCAGATGCTACGTTACCTCTACTTGACCTCATTTCCTCATCTTTAAAACAGAGCTGAGAATAGCATCTTTCTGAAAGGTTGTCATGGGGATCAAATGATAGAGTGTATGTCAAGCAGTATGGACACTTTGGATCATAATATTCAATAAAACTATCATAACATTTGTAAAGTGTCATATGGTTCACAGCAAATTCCATTGCATTTTAAGTACCTAGCAGTGCTAAATTCTCTCTATATAAGCAAATATTGTTTAGAATGGTTGCCTGTCTCTTAATTCACAGAGGACTGGATGTAAGCTCTAAGCAAAAATGAGGTGATACATTGAGTATAAAGAGGCATTTTAAACAACAAAGGTAATTATAACAATTAGCCCAGTCTGGTACTGATAGAGAAGAAAAGTGTTTTCTATACAGTGTCACTTTGGGGGCAGAAATCAGGGAAGAAAGGAGGAAGAGATGGAGGGATGAAAAAAACTTCCCGAAACACACACACACACACACACACACACACACACACACACACACACACAATTATTTTGTCCATTCTATCACTAAGTCAAACAATACTTGGAAAGATAAAGGACTTCCCAGGATGTAGAATCCCTCACCTAGTGAGTGGCAAACCCAGGTCTCAACAAATCTACCTTAAGGAGACCTTCTATATGAATTAAGTCATTTGAATACTAAGATAATCCCTACTAGCTTTCTTGTTTAGAAGGTAATACTAATTGGTAAATACTTTTCCTTGTAACTTCCCTTTCCTATCTGAAAACCTGACAAAGTGCCAAGTTTCCTAAAATCCACCATCTGCTAGGAGTCACAGATGACTACAATGGAAGTGCCAAATTTGCATTAGGAAAGTAGAAACAGACACAGGAGAATTTTCATTGGAATCCTCAGTTCTATGATAATTCACACATATTTTAACCACACAGGATCTTGGTTTTTCTGTTTTGTTTTTTTGTTTATGAAATAGAGCAGAAATAGTTTCTACCTCTTGAAATTGCCACATTCCATGTCAAAATCCTTAGCTGGAGTTCACAGAACATATTAACCTTGCTAAATAAACATCCCCTAGCACTGGAAAACACCATCCAGTCCAAACCTAACTCCTCTAGTCTGACCACAGAAATCATCTAAGCATCTTCATAAAAGCCAGTTCCAGAAGGATCCTTTAGATGCTCTTGTAAAACAGCCAGAAGCTTGGAAAAATCTCACAGCCTGGAATCTAATTTTCCCATCATTCCTCATGCTCTCACTTTCCCAAGATTGCCATGGTGATAATGTGGGTATCTAGTTACAACATGGAATGTGTTATGCTTTTTATTTCCAAAGCACATTCATGTTCTTACCTTGTTGATTCTAAAACAACTGGGCAAGTCAGGGAGGGCAGGTAATATCCCACAAGAAGGATGAGGAAACTCAGAGTACGGAAGAGAATAACATTAGCCACTATTATTGCACACCCGTTGTACCCCAGTCTTCTGTGTAAACTTCTTACCGCCCATTCAAGAAGGTGTTGTTATTTAATTTTCAGGAAGGATAAAAGCGAAAAGAGGGTTGTATGTTCACATTCCTCCGCATATGTAGGGGAGGAGCTGTGACTTGAGTCTGGACCCATCTTCCCCCAAAATCAATAAATTCTATCACCAACTTATCAAAGAATTACAGTTGTTAGCACCATATTATAATCTGTACTTTGTAACTCGTGTTCAAGACACTTTTCAGTAATCCATTCATTCAGCCAGTTTGAATTGTTCAAGGTGCCGACACTACACTCATCTGTAGCTAAGACAGTCACTGCCACATACAACTGCTTGTCATCTGTCTGCTACTCCGAGTCTCTCATTCTTAGCTTTCCAGTCCATGCCTCAAATTGTGCGGTTCCTCTAATACTGACAGGGGAAAGTGAAAGGATAACATATGCTGTATGTTTTTTCTCTTTTTATTAACGTGTTAATTTGTTATTTGACAACTTTATATTACATTACATGATGATTACTCTGATGCCCTACCATCTCTTAACTCCTCCCACCCCTATCTACCTCCCTTCTCCCACAAAAAAATATATTTCTTACATTTGTGCCTATTTCTTGTGTTCTGTGAGCCAGTGAGTCTAACCACACCTTCTTTGGGACCATGAGTTTGAAGCTATCTATTAGAGTCTTGTGGGCCCAACAGTGGGTTCAAAGGCAAAAAACAATGAACCATCCCCCACTCCCAGCATCTACCGATAGCCAATAGTTCAGCCGAGGGACGGGGATCCATGAGCCCCTCTCCCATCCATGATAGATTGTTGACAGTCAGCCTTGCAACTGCTGTGATGATTGCAACTGAAGTTCTTTCTTTTCAGCTGTGCAATCCTTGTGCCTAGGGAGATTCTCATATCCGAGTTGCAATGGCATTTTGAGTATGGTCTCCTTCCCCTGGGGAGAATGTGCTTCATTCTTATTTGAGATGATCTACTCCCTCTTGCTTTGTTTTTAAAGGAGAAGTTGGGGAAAAAGGAGACACCGGAGAAGGAGGCAAGGATGGAAAAGTGGGGCGCAGGGGACCAAAAGGTAGGCTAACCTGTCTGAAATTGCTGCTTTTATGTGCAAATGTTCATTCTTTCCTGTCCCTTGTCTTGGAAATTAGCAGAAATTAGCAGTTTCACGATGCTCTTTTGGCCCAGAGTAATGTGTTTCAGGTGTGAGCTACCTGACCAGGCAAGGCTCCTATGAGCTTTGCCTGATGGCTCAACTCTGTCCTATTTCTCAAGCTGTATCATTAAGGCTGGTCAGAGTAGCTCACACTCTGTGGCTCAGGGAGCAGTAATCTCTGAGAAAATACAAGATTGTGAGTTATAGGAGACAAAGCTGTGTTCATTGAAAGAGCTGCCTGGTTCTTTGAAGTGCTCATCTTTTCCCAATCTCTGTATTTCTTTACTCCCCTTTCTATATAATACAAAATGACATAACATGGCAGTGGCGAGCCCTGCAGAGAATAGAAACAAAGCAGACAAGAGTAATACAAATGCTATTTGAATGTTTTCACAAATAAACCTAAGAATAAACCGTACTAAAACTAAAAAAGTAAAAAGCTTCTGGGTTGCCGTCATGTATCTTCTAAACATTTGAGTTGCTCTCCCACTTAGCAAATGGTTCCCATGGATCACTCATTTTAAATGTTTGAGTGATTTAAAGAGTTGGAAAGACCCTTAAACCCTTACAGCCCCAATCTGAGAAATACTGACTTAAGCTCATTCTGAAAGTTCTTATGTCAGTTGCTAAGTTATTCTCACAAAACCAATTTGTAACTAGTAAATGTTTTTATATTGTCATCTTTTTGTTATTTATTCAGTTGTGGGGTTTTTGGTTTGTTTTGCCTTTTTTTTTTTTTTTTTTTTTTTTTTTTTTGAGAAGTCTCACTATGTCACCTTAACTGGTTTGAAATTTGTTATGTAGACCAGACTGTCCTCTAACTCATCGAGATCGGTTTGCCTCCGCCTTCTGAATTCTAGAATTAAAGATGTGTGCCAGCATACCCATTTTTATCTTTATCAATATTTTCATTTTTTTAAAGCAAGCAATGACTTTAGAATATTGTAAGGGTCCCTGATGATAAGCCTTAGGTTTACAAGCCCAGCAATAAAGTGAGCTGTGATGGATCACATCGATAATCCCAGCATCCAGGAAAGTTGAGGAAAAACTGCTTATTTGAGGGCAACCTGGCACATATAGTGAACTCCAAGCCAGTCTTGGCAACAGTGTGAGATGCCATTTCAAAAGACCAAAAAAAAAAAAGGCAACAAAACTCAGCAAGACAATGTCTGGTGTCTTTTTCATCACCAGACTTTATGGATACATCTTATCTTCCCTGTTTTGAAGTAGCTAAAACTGTCAAATCTTGCCTGAAAGTAGAGAGAGAAATCAGTCCTAAAGCAAAATCAGAAATGTATCCAGAGGTGAACACATCTAAAACAAAGTACAAGAGCTCCACTCTGGCACTTATCTATCCTTTATTTCAGAACCCCTCTGCTATGGGCATTTGAGAATATTGCTGGAGGAAATATTTTTAATTACTTTTTACTTAAATTAAAACAATCTTATTTTACACACCATTCTCAGTTCCCTCTCCCTCCCATTCTCCCATTCCCCTCTGTGTCTCCCCATCCCACACCCCCATCCACTCCTCAGGGAGGGTGAGGCCTCCCATGGGGGAATCATTAAAGATGGTCACTGGAGTAAATATTTTAATACCAACATACGCAGAATTGTCAGAATCATTCATGTTTCCATTAATAGATTACTGTCTAGCCCTGTTTAAACATAGTCTACATAGCATAGGATACATTCTAGTGTCTTGCTTTCATTTCCTGGTACTGTGATAAAACACTCTGAGAAAAAGAAACATAAAGAGGAAAGTGGGGTTGGTTCTGTGTTACAGCCTCTCACAGGCAGGAAGCCATAGGACGCTTGGGGGATCAGAAAGTAATGCAAGTGTGTGTGCTCCCAGCTCCTACTTCTCTTGTGTTTATAGTGCTGCTACCCACCATGAATGGATCTTCCCACCACAGTAAGCATGACCGAGAGAATCCCCCACAGATATGCCTGCACATCAACCCAACTGTTGAGAAAACAACCCTTCACAATTAGATATGTGAGGTAGAATACACACACACACACACACACGGGTGTGTTTCCTTAAATTAAAGATCATGTTAATCACATCCTTTAAAAGCAAGAAAAGGTCTCATGCTATAACAATAGCTTGCTTTGTTTTTCAGGAGTTAAAGGAGAGCTGGGTGACATGGGAAACCAGGGAAATATTGGCAAGTCTGGCCCCATTGGCAAGAAGGGTAAGTTGATCATGTTGTTTCCCAGTGCAAATTAAAGCAAGGGAGCACACGGTGGACACATTTTATGTCATGAAAGTGACAGTTTCCTTTCTTTTAAATGGTGTTTGTTCTGTCTCCCTAGCTTGAGTCTTATACAAGGAAGCTCTCACAGCTCAGAACAAGAAAGACATGGAGAAAAATTAAGCAAGATTTTAAAACAGAATGAAGCATAAAATTCTGGTAGACTCTATATTGAACTCACTCCCTGGATGTATTGCTAAGATCCAGTGATACCATGACTCAAATGCTGTCATGATTACTCATAAAACACAGTGTAGTCAAGTATAAGTAGAGAAATTAATAATACTGTCTCCATAACCTATTAGCAGGTAAGGAAACTGAAATATATACCAAAAAATGCCCATCTCTTTAGACATATTCTGCTTTAAGTGCAGCTGCAATATTAGAAAACAAATAGTTGCTCTTTATTACCCAACCTTTCCTCCCCTGCCTCCTTCTCATAAATCCTCACAATGGTAACAAGTCCCAATTGTACTCATATTCAGTAATTCATATGTATAGGCATTGTTCCACGTGGTTGGAAATACAAAGCTGAAAGAGAATCAGTTTGCATTGCTAGCAACTCAGATCATTCAGGAAGATAAGATTTTCTCAAGAAGAATTATAATCCTGAACAACATGGGTACTAGAGGCACAAAATTAGAAAAACAGAATTGATATGGGGAGAAACTGAAGTAAGTCTTAAGGAACAGCAACATGTTTATAAGCACCAGGAAAAGACATTTGGAAGAAGTCATTCTACAAAAGTTCAGATTGGAAGAAGCGGAGTGTTGTGAACATTATAATTATGCATTCTGTATGGACCCTCCATCATTCATAAGCCTTTACATAAGTGATCAAGTGCCTTATGGCATGGTGTGGAGTCTGAGCTGAGGCTGTGGCCCCTAGTATCACCTGGGGGCTCTGTATTTCCTCTTGCGCATCTCACCCCACTCCCTCCCACTTTGTTCCTTAAGGAGTTTCCTTCAGCAATATTTAAAGACACAGATGGGCATCTCTCTTGTATGTTCACCACCAGTTAAAGTCCTCACAGCTGGGAAAGCTACATTAGCTCTTCACAGTCCTGACAGCTTGCTGTAGCCTGAGCTGGTGGGTCTCTCAAAAAACTGTGAAGTGTTGGCTTCATAACTCTTCATTTGCACAGCCTTCCCAAGACCCTTAGAGGAGGCCTAGAACAGGTTTACACAACCGCATGTCTTGGTAAAATTTGGAAATTGAGACATTTTATCTTTTCAGCTAAAAGAGTGCTCTCTATTTTTAAAACTTTTTAAATGATTGTCCCTCCAATAAGCATAACACAAGTACACATATACATACATACGTACATTCAATATGTTTATGTATATGTAAATATATATACATATATACTATAGATAGATAGATAGATAGATAGATAGATAGATAGATAGATAGATAGATATGCTTTTTTTCGACCCCTAAGCCATTTGCACTCCTGAAGTGATAATGTCTCTGACAAAGCATGGGCTAAGACCACTGTCTCCAGCTCTAATTTCCCTCTATCTAGTTTCATTCTTATAGTGAATGGATTGGGAGTGAATACAAGTATTCAGGGAGTGAACTAAGACAGGCTTAAGTGAAGAAAAACATTTAGTTTGGAATTAGGGTGTGTGCTTATGTAGTTTGAAGTTACCTCCATAATCAGTTAAATTATTACTAACAAGTACAATGTAGGAATGGCCTCCAAGAATACTCCCTCCTCCTACCGTGCAGGCCAATAAAAGTCATGAAATAGAAGTTCTGATATGCTCAGGGGCGTCCACCCCAAGAAACGTGGAAACACAGACAAGGAAAAAAAAATGTTTGACAAACATAGGGCCAGAGACAGCCAGGAGTTCTCCAAATCAGACATCCTAGGTATACATGACAAAAGATTTACCAGACTGTTCTCAAACTTGCCAATAATCTGACCATATATATCTTATCAACAACAAGTTATAATGATGAAAGCACCTTAACATAGTTAATAATGAAACATGTCCTGGGCAAGAGGCTGCAACATTTATCAGGTTAATCTTTTTGAAAATTACAACTGGCTATGTTTTTAAAAATAAACATATATATATATATATATATATATATATATATATGTTTTTTTGAAGGTTTGAGAGAACTGCAAAAATTAATGGGAGAGTAACAGCCACTAAATCAAACTAAAGATACATTGTATGTTCTATATGACTTTCTTCTGAGGACATTCACCAGCCTATGTACAGTGCCCCATGTACAGCAGGAGGCAGAATTAAGAGTTGGATATGTGAATACAAAGTTGCTCTGCCTCAGTTGATTCTGAAGAATTGCCAAAGAACAGAGGCCTGAGAAAATGCTCCATATTTTTAATTGTAACTCCAGAAAACCTGAAAATCTTTTAATTAAACATATACCAATTTGTTTTTTTAACATAACAAACTAAGTATATAAGAACATACTTGATCAAAAAGAGAATATAAACAACAAAATTTATTTAAAAACATTCAAGATAAAAACACTGAAAATGTCTCTCTCGAGATTGGAAACAAGATTAGTATAGCCCTCTAGCATCAACTCTAACCAACATTTCTCATGAGCTTCCAACCAGAGCAAAAATTCAAGATAAGGAACTAGGGCGTACAAGAGTAGAACATAGACTAGCATTCACTATATGTAGATAACTTATTGTATAACCAGGAAATTCTAATAAGCTGCAGATAAGATGTTTGTATAGATAAGATTTTTGGATGCTAAATAAACAAAAAAAACTTGATTTCTGTATAAAATTGATTACATTGAAATAACACTATCACAATATCAAAGTTATCATGTACCTAGGAATAAATCTAACAAAACTTATATAAGCTCTCTACAGCAAATACAACACAATGGTAATAGAATTAAAGGGTACCTGAGGAAATGGAAGTAAAGTCATACAGATTACAAAACTCTGTATTATTTTTATGTCAGTGCCTCCAGACGTGGTTTTTATATTCAATACATTTTTGATCAAAGTCTCAGAAATATCCTTTTGAAAAATCAATAAGCCAATGCAAACTGTATGGGTAAATGAAAAGTACTAATAATATTTAAGATAGTTTTATAATTAAAAAAGTGTTGGAGGACACAAATTACTAAACTAAAATACTATAAAACTATAGTGTTGAGATAATATTGAAATAAACAAACCAATGGAAATGAATAGAATGCAAAAATATCCAAATGTTTTATGGAAGGTTGTAACCAATTTCCATTGGAAAGTCAGTGTCCTATCACTAAATAGTACTGAGTTAGTTGGATATTTATGTTTTAAAAGTAATAATTGAGCCATTGAGTTGACTCAGTGTGCAAAGATGCCTGCTGTTTTGTATAAATATATAGTACAAATGGCAATACGTCTAGGGTCAATTCGAAAACTTCTGATAATTGTGTCCAAATCCCAAGCAAAAATTCAATTAATGATATTTTGTGAAACTCAAGTCAGCAATCCAAAGAGCAATTGTAAGTATCAAACCTTCTAACACTATATGGTCTACAGCTATAGAAAGTTGATATTTACCTGCTAAGGAATGACAATAGGAAAATGTGATGTCTGCTTTCCCTACCAGAAACATTATGTTTATATAACTTTGTATATACAGTAGAAACACTAGAAGCTGTAACATCCAGGCATCTTGAGTATGATTCAAGGAATTTCAGACAGTGTTCACTCATGTTGTATAATATGACAAAACACACTTTACAGAGTGTACATGCTATGAGCCCAGAATCAAGCGTGCAGTGAAGTCACAGGATACAACATGGGCATTCGCTGCCACAAATTCCTCAGATCCATATGATTCATTTTGAATTGGCTTTTGTTCTTGGCATTTTCAGAAACCTTTTGCTCCTGCCAAGATTTTCATGACACTTACATTAATTTGTGTAACCCCAAATGTGATCACAGCACACAATTTAAGAAAATCAGTTAAGCCAGGCATTGGTGGAACACACCTTTAATACCAGTACTTGGGAGGCAGAGGCAGGTGGATCTCTGTGAGTTCAAGGCCAGCATGATTTACAGAGCTAGTTCCAGAACAGGGTCCAAAGCAATACAGAGAAACCCTGTCTCGAAACACAAACAAACAAAACAATAACACAACAAAAAAAGAAAAAAGAAAGGAAGGAAGAAAGAAAGGAAGAAAAGGAAACCAGTCATAAATGAGAGAGACAAGCAAAAGTGATCCATCTTTAGTGTGACTAACTAAGCCCTGAAGTAGATGGACCTCCAGAAATGCTGAATAACTAAGTTTGGAGATGATATGTTAATGAGGCTTTGCTCCTTCAGGTCAGTCTCCCCTTCACCACTCAGAGATGCAGCACTCAGAGTTGACCTCTGTCTCTGTGCTTACTGCTATGTCTGATTTCTCTGTAGAACCATTGCTTCCTGGGGGTAAGACTTGAATGAAACACTTACTGGGTCTGTTGATTTAAACATATAAACAAGGTGAAAGAAAGATAACCTGGTAGGTTAGAGCACTTGCTGAAGAAGCCAAGGACATGGGTTCAAATCCTCAAGACCAATTTTAAAAAATGGTGTGGCAATTGGCATCTGTAATCACAGCACTATGGTAAGGAGGAGGGGAAGCAGAGACAGGAAGATCACTGATGGGGGGGGGGCCTCTCTTGTCACAAGTAAGGTTTCCTGTATAGTGAAAGACCCAGTCTGAACAGAATAAGGCAGAGAATGATAGAACAGGACATCCAATGTCCTCCTCTGGCTTTTTCAAGAACACACATATATAAGCATACATACCCACACATACAGGTGAACATACACCATATTCACACACATAAACACATGTACAACTGCAAAATGTGTGTGTGTGTGTGTATGTGTATTTTTGGATGTGACTCAGTGATAGCAAGCTTGCCTGACATGCACAAGCTCTGGGTTTCATTCCTAGAAACACACACGTGTTTACCCACACATAAGTATAGGTAAAAACTGAAAAATAAAACATACTATTTTCCACAAGGTAGCCTTATTTTCTATTTTTTATTCCTTTAAGTACTACTTTTCTACCAGTTCCACTATTGGCTGCCAAGATTTCCTTCCCCTATAGAGATGTATCATCAAAATTTATGAGCAAGTCTTAAGAAAAATGGAGATTCAGTGTTTTGGCTCACCTGGGCTAATTTCATTTTTAATCAACTCTTGAAAATTTATTGTCCTCATTTGGCCATGGCCCTCCTAAGTTTTTCATCACCTTGGATTAATCTCAACTTACTTTCTAGGCTGACCTTAATGCTGTCATCTGCATGGTTAAGGTAGCTTTCCAGATGTCAATATTTCATTTTTGCAATAAGAAATAAGAATGATTTAGTATAGGTAAATCCAATCTCATAGCAAAATAAATGTTTTTTATTTAAGGCCAATAATCCTTTCACACTGAAAACACTCTGATTTCTTTTGTTCCTCCAAATGTGACCTCAAATTCTTGACTTAAGACACTGTTATAGACATATTCCCACTCACAGGCCCAATAAAGATCTGTGGGTGACTTGAAATCATAATTAGTTTTGAAAACATATACTAAGACCAAATCCTCTGTAAGTGAACTAGGGGCACAGCTTAGCGCGCTTTGCTGACCTGTGGCTTAGGTTGGCTCAGCATCCTCTGACTGGAAGCCAGTGTGAATTTCCTTCCAACATAGGATTCCTTCATTTGCTCCCTTAACGACTTCATCATTTTAGGACCATTATTACTACTTAGGACACGAAGAAACACAGACTTGAGGAAATTCAGCAGCCTGTCCGCAAACCAACAGGTTCAGAATTCAAACCCTTGGACTTTCACTGCTTTGCTTTGTCTTCTGGTTTGTTACCAAAGGGAAGGACTTCGAGTCTGAGCATTGAAAAGCAGTGGCAGTGCTTACAGCTCCTTAAAGGAAAAGCCACACATGGATTCAAGGTGCCACTTCCCTAAGGAAGATCAGGCCACACTGCAGCCCTTTCTACTGTGATTCACAGGGATCTTTTCCTGTTCTGATCCCCTACCAGACTTTTAGTTTATTTTGAAATGTTAGTACATCATGGTGTCAATCTCCTGGTTCTCTGATGTGTTTTTATTTCCTTAAAAGACCATCATTCTTCCAAAGCAAATATGGACCTTTCTTATTCCTGGCAGAAACATCCAGAATGTGCAGAAGATGCTGAAATTGCAGATAGTCACACAGGGCCTTAATTTACTATGAATTTGTTCCTGATCCATACATTCTTACAGTGAAATTTAATTTATAAATCACATAATGTAAGGGATTTTAACAGTGCTAATTAAAATGAGAAGGATGTTCGATGTGTTCTGAGATAGTTTGGATGAATGTACTCCCCCCCCCCTTATTTTCCTCTCAAAGGACCTCACATCAGCACACTGTGTATCCCCTTCCTGTGGGGACATGAGGTGATGAGATGCCAAACACAAGCTAAGAGAGACAAATGCGTAGGCATTGTAACAAAGGGTCATGATGCTATATCAGGCTTATTTAAAAATATAACTAAGGTAACAGCTAATGGATGGGTAGCACTCACAGACTGGAAATAATGCTAGTGGAAGATTCATATTCCAGGAAAATAAAATAAGATTTTAAAAAATTACTTTCTCTTATTTTATATATCCCTCTCCCTCTCATCCTCCCATGCCCCCCCCGGTCCCCCTCTCGTCCCATTTCCCACCCACTCCCCAGGGAGGGTGAGGCCTTCCAGGAGGGATCAGTGAAGTCATTTGGGGCAGGGCCTAGGCCCTCCCTCCTGTCTCTAGGCAAAGGGAGTATCCCTCCATGGGGAATGTACTCCAGGAGTCCTTTTGTGCACCAGGGATACATCCTGGTTCCACTGTCAGATATCCCTTAGACTGCCCAGGCCTTCTAACTGAGACCCATGTTCAGGGTGTCTGGATCAGTCCTATGCTGGTTTCCCAGCTATCAGTCAGAGGTCCTTGTTCAGGTCATCTGTCTCTATGGGTTTCTGTAACCTGGTCTTGGCCCCTTTCCTCATCACTCCTCCCTCTCTGCAACTGAATTCCAGGTGTTCAGCTCAATGTTTAGATGTGGGTGTCTGCTTCTGTTTCCATCAGCTACTGGATGAGGGCTCTAGAACGGCATATAAGGTAGTTATCAACCTCATTATCAGGGAAGGGCATTTAAGATAGCCTCTCCACTATTGTTCACATTGTTAGCTGGGGTCATACTTGTAAGTCTCTGGACATTTCTCTAGTGTCAGTTTTCTCTTCAAATCTATAATGGCTCCCTCTACTATGGTATCTCTTTTCTTACTCTTGTCTATTCGTCCTGCAACTGAATCTTCCTGGTCCCTCACATTCTCCTCTCCCCTCCTCTTCTCTCCTTCTCTTTCTCCTAACTCCCTCTCCACTCACTGCCACTCCCTCTCCCAATAGGCTCAGGGGATCTTGTCCCTTTCTTCTTCAGTGGGAGACCTTGTATGACTCTTTTGGGATACTCCTTGTATCCTAGGTTCTCTGGCGGTATGAATTGTAGGATGGTGATCCTTTGGTCTATGTCTAAAATCCATATATGAGAGAGTACATACCATGTTCATCTTTTTGTGACTGGGTTACCTCACTCAGGATGGTTTGTTCTAGTTCCATCTATTTGCCTGCAAATTTCAAGATACTATTGTTTTTTCCATTGTGCAAATATACCACATCTTCTTTATCCATTCTTCAGTTGAGGTGTATCTAGGTTGTTTCAGGTTCTAGCTATTACAAATAATGCTGATATGAACATAGTTGAGCACATTTCTTTGTTGCATGGATGTGGATCATCTGGATATATGCCTAAGAGTAGAATTGCTGGGTTCTGTAGTAGACTGATTCCCATTTTTCTGAGGAAACGTCATACTGATCTCCAAAATGGCTGTACAAGTTTGCACTCCCACCAGCAGTGGAGGAGTGTTCCCCTCTCTCTGCATCTTCTCAGCATAAACTGTCATTGGTGTTTCTATTTTAGCCATTCTGATAGGAGTAAGATGGTATCTCAGAGTTGCCTTGATTTGCATTTCCCTGATGGGAAATGTCTTTCAGCCATTTTAGATTCCTCTATTGAGAATTCTCTCTTCAGTTCTGTACCCCACTTTTTAATTGGATTATTTGGCGTTTTGGTGACTAGCTTCTTGAGTTCTTTGTATATTTTGGAGATCAGCCTTCTGTCAGATGTGGGGTTGGTGAAGATCTTTTCCCACTCTGTGGGCTGCTGTTTTCTTCTCAACTGTGCTTCTTTCCTTACAGAAGCTTCTCAGTGTCAGTAGGTCCCATTTATTAATTGTCAATCTCAGTGTCTGTGCTACTGGTGTTATGTTCAGGAATCGGTCACCCATACCAATTGGTTCAAGGGTACCTCCCACTTTCTCTTCTAAGAGGTTCGGTGTGGCTGGATATATGTTGAGGTCCATTTGGACTTAAGTTTTGTGCATGGCAATAGACATGGATCTATCTGCAGTTTTCCACACACCAGCATCTAGTTATGCCAGCACCATTTGTTGAAGATGCTTTCCTCCTTCCATTGTATAATTTTAGCTGTTTTGTCAAAAATCAGGTGTTTGTAGGTGTGTGGGTTAATATCAGGATTTTCTATTCAATTCCATTGGACTACTTGTCTATTTTTGTGCCAATACCAAGCTGTTTTCAGAACTATAGCTCTTTAGTAGAGTTTGAAGTAAAGGTGAGAATAACAAATGATACTCTCAGAGCAAATGATATAAGGGACCCTCTAAGTTTTATAGTGGCCTTGTGAAAGATGCCATCAAGCAGAACCTCATTGTTGAGTACATTGTCCTTTACTTTGTCCTATTGGATCATGCAGCCAGCTCCCTAACTTCCTTTACTACTTATGGTAGAATTCCTATCCCTCCAGCCTGGGTGACCTTCAGCCTGTGTTCATCCTTCATAATTTATTTTTATACTGCCAGATCTCCACTGAAGCATGAAACTTTATTTCACTCCTCTCAGTGTCTTCTCTTTTGATCCTCATGAACCTCAGCCAAACATTCTCTCTTACAAATCAAACACTTTTCCTTTCTATTATTGTGTATGATGTGGGCTTCAGGAGTTATTTTGAAGTTTTGTTTTTATTATTTAAGCATTGTTTCTATTCCTTTTTCTCTATTTCAAAAAGCCTGCTTCTTTGAGAATTACTTTTTGGAAGCCTCTCAGTGAGTACAATAATGGTCTCATGAAAAAAAAGAACAGAAAGAGAAATTGCCAAGGTTGACATTTCAGTCTAATGTGATATGACTTAGCAGAGTAGATATTTGCATGTGTCCCTTCTTGACTAAAAACTGTAAATGCTTTGAAGTCTGAGGTTTATCTAGTCCTTCTATAAATTTTCTCTAAGTACCTAGCCGTTGGTCTTGCACAAAGTAAACAGCAAATATTTGTTGAGTTCATCTGAAAGAAAAATCTGTACTTTTCCAAGGTCAAAGTCACATAGAATAACTTGGAAAATAATAACTACACACAGTTCAATGTGGTAACCAGTGGATGCAGATTTGCAAAGCAATTGTATTTTCAAAATTAAAACCATGAAGCAAATTGTATTAGCCTTGTTGCTGAGGAGAACACCATAAGTGAGGTAAGTGCCACAAATCCAAATGTTCTTTATATATCCTGCAGATATTTCAGTGATCAATCTAAGTAGTGTCGCTCACCTGATTATCTGTGCCTGTGAACAACCCAAATCAGTTATAAAAAGCCAAGGGATATCAATTAGAGATGACAAAAATAAAACTTTGAAGGCTTTTTCCTCTGGTTTTAGATTTACAGGATATTTTGTCAGCTTGAAACTACTCACTATGTATTTATTGTGCCTTCTTTTTTACTCTTTTTATTTAGGTGACAAAGGGGAAAAGGGTTTGGTCGGAATTCCCGGAGAAAAAGGCAAGGCAGGTAGGAACAACATGCTCACTTTGGTTTTTGTTGATTTCTGACAGCACTCCAAAGGTGTCTAGCATAGAGCTACACTGTTTTTAAGAAAACAACCTCTTTTGTGCATTCGACCTTATTTCCATGTGTTAGAGGACATGGTGGAAGAGAACTTTCCTGCCTTCCTACGGGTGACTTTCCAAGCCAGGGAAGGAAATGAGGACACATTCCATCCCTGTCATGCTTGCAGTGAGAAGCTACCAGGGAGTAGAGTTCCATATCTGGAGCCAGGAGCAATGTGCACACCAGAAACTGCATCAGCAGCCTTGCCTCATGTCCCGAGCATCTGAGTCAAACGCTGACCTCCTGTGCTGACCCTTTCAGGCTACCTGGCTACAGAGCCTGCCCTGCATGAGCTGAGAGGGTCCACAGAGAACTCAGCTTGTAGTGTTACATATGAGGAAGTACAGTAGTTTCTTTAAGGGAAATCCCCGTTGTTTCTATTCACAATGGTCTAGTGAAGACACATTCAAAGAACAGCCTTATGTTCCTTGCCTTTATCCACAAACATGGGTCAATTAAAGAATGGGGTATTTCTTCATTTGGCTAATAAGATTAGTTTGACTTCTCATACCACCAAGTAATAAAGAAATGGAAAACTATACCCAGCAGTCATTAAACAGAAATAAAACAGAATCATTTGGATTTACCATCATTTTCTTTGATTCTGCTTCTCCTCACTATAACCAAGGCAATTAGAAAGCAGGGTGAGAAAAAGAAGCTGCACAACAAATTAACCCATAAACCGGACAGCTGCCTTTTAAAATTTAAACTGCATCTATTCACGGTGTTTAAATGTAGTCTTTGGAACTTAACAGCTTTACTTTACATGGATAATCAGAGCTAACATGTGATTGAATCATGAAAAGTTTCTCCCATCTTGGGAGAGCTGTGTGAGCTCCTGAATAATGCAGTAACAGGAGAGAGGCCTGGCTGCAAATATGTTTTAAGGAAGCTGTAAAAAAAAAATTCTTCTAAAATTGAGCAGACCATTTCTGTACCAAAGAAAAATGCCAAATAGCCCAACATGTGAGCACGCTGGTTTGTCTCACTCATTCTTTGTAACCCTCTCACTTGGAGTTTTTTATTTAACTCATTCCAAACATTTGCTAAAGGAGGCTTTACAAATTCTTAAAGATACAATAAAATAGAAACCTTGTTTTAAATGAAAAGTCAAACACTTGGAGGTTCATAGAGAGATGTAACCACCCAGAAAATGGTAGAACACACAGGAAACACTGAGAAGAGAGAAACAGTTCTCTCTAATGGGTCTCTGTGTTCTTCGATGTGAATTCATAGTTTTGTCCTTTACAAGGGACCATCTGTGACTGTGGGAGATACCGGAAAGTGGTTGGACAACTGGATATTAGCGTTGCTCGTCTTAAGACATCAATGAAGTTCATCAAAAATGGTAAAAGATGGTCACCTATTCGGTCTGTTTCATACTTACTAATCTGGCCTTTCAACACTACATTCCTTAGTGTAAAATACCTTGAGTCAAGCTAAGTATCACAGTTAAAAAGCCTCCTAAAATATTGATTGCCCTCTCAGAATTCAATATTTTTTTTATTTCACTGCACAGAATCAATCATGTAGGTGTGTTATATTCTCAGAAGAAGGATCTTTGCTAAAAGAGGGTGTTAGTTCCACTGAACAAGAGTAAACACCATTACTTAAATTCTTTTGTCAAATTAAGTAAGTTTTATTTTCTGTTTGATGGGGCTATCTCCCTAAAGTGGGATTTGAAAAAATAGCATTGAACATAAGAAAAATTAGGGCTTATATACCTCCCAAGTTGCAAAACTAGGAGATTTCCAAGGGTTTTTGGTTACATAGAAACATGGCAGGACATCTTATCAGGATAGAGGATAGGGTATAGGGTATGAAACATGACAAATTCTAGAAAATAGGTCAAGACCTGGTCAAATCCAAGTTTACTGAAAACAGGAATAAACTTATTTTGACCTTGTAACAAGATGGCTTTAAATCTTAAAATGAAGTCAGACTGCTCCACCAAAGGGAAGAAGGAAAGAACAGGGTTGGGCAAACTGTGCCAAAAGAATAAAGGGGCCCAAGAGTCAAAGAGAAATAACATCTCAGAAAATATAAACAGCAGCAATGGCTCCCTTCTCGAGCACTTGGGGTAGCACATAATTACCGACCATATAGCATTTAGTGTTTTTAATTATTATGTTGCAAGAGCTTGAGTCACCCGAAGCTTGGAGAATGTCATGTCCATGAATACAGACAGCAGAGAAGGGTTTTTTGACTCGTTTCCCAATACATTCAATACCACTCTTATGTGTATCTATAAATTTTTGAACTTGGTCATTTTTCTTGCCCCTTATACATTTTCCCACACTAAAAAGCAGTAAAGTCCTCAACTTGGAAAGGGCTTTGCTGAGACAGTTTTATTGAAGGAACTGATGTAGTGACTGTTATGGCTGATCTCAGCTGGCTGGACTTTTACTTAGTGTAATCTAGACGTATGTATGTGTTGCACATTAGCTGAAGTACACAAATGGCAGCTTCTGTTCAGAGTCAACATGTAATGAGAGAGGCTTAGGAAATACTAAAACTTAAAGAAGGAACTTAATTGGCTTTAAGTTCTAGTTGTAAGCCATACATAAGATTCTGTACCTTGGGGCTGGAGAGATAGCTCAGCAGTTAAGAGCTTGTATTGCTCTTTCAGAGGATCCCAGTTCAATTCCTTGCAGTTCACAACTATCTCTAACTCCACTTCCAAAGGATCTGGTACTGTCTTCTCATTTCCATGGGCATCCTCACATAGCATGACCTATACAGGGAAATACATACATACATACATACATACATACATACATACATACATCTATATATTCAAAATTTAAAAATGAAATTTTATATCTTCTATGATTCAGACTGTCATGAACATACCAGAACCAAAAAGTTATAACATTCTAGTGCCCAAAGATTTCTTGGTAAAGCTAAAAACCCCAAAATGAAGCCATGAGCACAAAGACCATATTATAAATTGAAGATGATTTTCAGTGCCTAGTATCTTGAAATTCAGTCAGCAGCTCAGTTTTACTTACAGCTGTGTGGATAATCTCAATCATTGTGTGCACCCATATCCTAGAAACTTGACCTGAAGTGGGCATAAGTCTTTGTTACACCTAGATTGTCCACTGAATTTGCTTTTAATAAGCATTTGGCATTTCTTAGGCTGTTCTAGGCACTGGATTGAAGGTGTCAGACATGATCACTGACCTCAAGACATTCATAGTTCAGGAAAAGATATACACAAGCAATGAGAATAGAGTGTGCTGAGTGGTATAAAAGGGGGATAAGATTGGAAGGGACAATGGGAACATGGAAGACTCTATGTCCCACAGAGGGCATTGGAAAAGCTTTATGCAGGAAAACTTATTTTCTCTGAGATCTAAACGACCAATAGGGTCTTCCCATGCATGAAAAGTGTGGATGTAGAGGAAAAGGGAGACAAGTATACTCGAAACATAAGCTAGCTTGAGAAAGTGGCGAGATGTTCCAGATAGCAGCTCATGTTAACTGGCCTTTGTTACCAAGGCTTCTGTAAGACTGATATGTGGGAAGCTACGGGGGATAGGGAGGGAAGACAAATGGTAGACTTTTGTTCTCATTTGATAAACAGAAAGGCATAGAAGAAATTAAAGGCATGACTACCTCATTATGACCTTGCAAACGAGCTCTTGAATGATGAATAAGTGCGTTGAAACCTAACAATATTACATAGGTATTTGCTTCTTCTTTACTTGAGATACATTACAATATTTTTCCTCTCATTCCTTTAGTCATAGCAGGGATCCGGGAAACTGAAGAGAAATTCTACTACATTGTGCAGGAGGAGAAGAACTACAGGGAATCCCTGACTCACTGCAGGATCCGGGGAGGGATGCTAGCCATGCCCAAGGACAAGGTCGTTAACACCCTTATTGCTGACTATGTCGCCAAGAGTGGTTTCTTCAGAGTGTTCATTGGGGTGAATGACCTTGAGAGGGAGGGGCAGTATGTGTTCACAGACAACAGTCCTTTGCAGAACTACAGCAACTGGAAGGACGGGGAGCCTAGTGACCCTTATGGCCATGAGGACTGTGTGGAGATGCTGAGTTCCGGCAGGTGGAATGACACAGAGTGTCATCTTACCATGTATTTTGTCTGTGAGTTTGTGAAGAAGAAAAGATAATTTCCCTCATGTTACATGGTCACTCTTCCTAGGCTCCCAGCAATTTTGTCCATTTGCGCCTTCCTAATTACACTGCCTTGCTAAAATGATAAAAGGACCCTGTATCAACTATCTTCTTGTTCTATGTGAACTGTGGCAATTTTGTACTTAATGTTTGCTTTGGGATCTTCCTCTCACATTTCTATTTAACCCCCCGAGTTAACGGAAGGAAGACTCTAGAACTATGAAGGGAAAGTGTTGTTTCTAAGCAACACATGTTGTAGTCATTTTGTTGTTTTCATAAATGTATTCATGTAGACATTCCTCACCTTCGGCATACAGAGTGGGGCCAGGTGGGGGTAAAGCCTTGAAAAAACTCCAAAAACATTAAGGTGCAACCCTCTCTAAGGCCCCTTCCCCTTCAATCATATACGTCACTCCTGGAGAAGTACCGTGGGAGGCCTTTCACTCTGAAAATTAATGTTGCCAGACATGCCCTTCCTATTATTTTGACATGACAGGGCTATGTCAGGCACAGCATTTGAAATATGTATAGAATACTCATTTACCAGGTTGGCAGCATGCTACCTTGAGCTGCAGAGCAAACCTCAAAGCAGCTTTCCTCTGGCATTTGAAAATAAACATTTGAACAAATCTCCAGCTTATCTCCTTCTAAACTGATGCTCCACTTACAGGTTGTGACATATGATTAGGTTGTTTAAAATGCTGGCAAAGCAGTTAATGAAGTAAAAGAAACAGATCAACAGCATATGTTCCCCTTAAGCCATCTGTTCATGACATTGCCCATGACTAACTGGTTGAGAGATGGGATTTTACTGACATTAGTTCTTCGAATTCACCAAGAGTCACAAGCCTGTGTCCTACAGAGCCCAGAGAGATGGTGTAAATAGATGAACTGGAAGAAACGAGGCCCTGTATCCACTAAGCACAACCTGTGCTTTTAAGGAACCAGCTACTCCTTAGCAGCTACTGTTCCTGCCACACAGAACCCAGCATAGTTACAAGCCAGTGTCCTGACATTTGAACAGAAATCAGACAGCTGCAACTTTATAACTCCGTATTCTTAAGTGTTGACAACTAATCAATATCTAACCAAGGTTTTAAGACCTACAAATGTCTGCTAGCCAAATTGTGAACTTTCCATTTACATCTCTGGGGAAAGTACTAATTATGCCAGATGTCATTAGGAAATGATGACATCAATGTCAGGTCTCCCATGAATGCCTTATTCAGTTCAGCTTATCTAGAGAAATTGGTTAAATCTTTGACATTTATCAGGTGATTAAGCTAGTTGCACAGTCTCTTTTGAGATTGTAGCATAGGGTATCTTGAAGGTTGATGGGTTTAATACAATTACAAATCAGGGCATCATGCCAAATGCCAGCCAAGATCTTGGAGAATTGGAACACAGAGAAACGTGCAGAGGAAAAGAAAGGGCTGAGAGGAGAAGCACGAAGTCAAGAGCAAACACAGCCTAGTGCGGCTCCTGTTGGATCCATGTTCGCAATTGCTCTGAGTCCCTGAAGTCTGAAGATTTTGAACATAAGGCAAATGCTATCATTTATATTATAAATGTTATAATGCTAACAGTTCTCTCAATAACTCATCTTAATTTGGAGGACGCTTTTAAGAGTAGATGGCAGCTTCAAATAATAAGATCTATTCTATAGCCTTCTCTGGAAGAATCTCTTAAGATATTGCATATTTAATTAGAATTACATAAAAATACATATATTTTTCTATTTTTCTTTCAAGGTAGAGCATTAATATATAACCCAGGCTGTCCTTGAACTCTCAGTCTTCCTGTCTCAGCATCCTGGATGCTAGATGACAGGTGTGCATCACCATGCTCAGCTGAAACACATCATTACATAGTGTGCTGTAAAAGCCTTTGCACCTCCTTCATCATTTGATCCTTAAAATATGAGAAGTTAAATAGATAGATATATGGAATAAAATAAAATATGAAAAGTATAAAAGGCAAGCATTTTTATTGCCATTTTTCCAGTGAAAACACTGCAGCTCAATGAAGAAAAGATATTAACAAAATCAGTGTATTTGAGATTTAAAAAAAAAGCTTCTATCCTTTTGGTCCAAACTGACAGATATCTTGAGTGCATGCTTGGAAGGTAACAATATGTGTATGGGGCAGGGAGAAGTTAAATAAGCAGTATCACTCACAGCATTATTTACAGAGAAGCTGAGATTGTGCAGGTGTTATCACTGATGGGAAGGTAGTAGTGTGGTTTCATTCAGCGTGATACATGTGTGCTCTAAAGTTTAAACTCTAGATCTGGCATCATGACTGCCTAAATGTCCTTGCTGATTCTGGCCCTTCCCAGCCATACTATAGGAATAATTTAAATGTTCTTTATCTCTCGTGTCTTTATCATTTTCTCTTCATAGAGAACCACGACAACTAAGGAGGAATTGTGGTGATATATTTGGAAGAATACCAGCTAGACTGACATATGTATGCCACAGACTTAGACATTGCTACTAGCTACATGTGCTGTGAGATGTATGAGAGAAACAATATATATATATATATATATATATTATATTATATATATAATATATATAATGTCAATATATTATATAGAGAGAACTTTATATTTCATTACATAAAATATGAGTATTAAAACATAAAAGTAAAGTCATTGGGGTCTGGAAAGATAGCTCAGTGGATAAGAGCCCAGGCTTCTTTTTCAGGGTACCCTAACTAAGTTCCCAGCACCCACAATATGTGGCTAACAATTGTCTGTAACTCCATCTCCAAGGGATCTGTCACCTTTACCTGGACTCCATGGGCACCTACTCTCAGATGTGCACAGTCCCAAACACAGATACACATATATGCACATAACTTTAAAAGTAAAGTAAACCTTTTTTAAAAGTAAAACTGTTAGCTGTTTTGCTTTTAGATTATTACGCCTTCACACTACAGCTGAATCCTTTCATATATGAGGGGAAACATCTATAAAACAACCATTTTGCGTTCATCCTGTGTACATAAACCTTTATATAATATAAGGACATGTTCCACTGTGACTCTAACAGATGCTTATCTAGTCTGTTTTTGAATGCATTCATAATTAACAAGCTCTTATGGCAAATTAAAGTACATTACATCTAATTTGCACCCATTGTCCTTGTCTTGCCTTTTGATGTTTATAATTGAGAAGTCAAGCCCTGAGATCCTCTGTGGAATCAACAGCAAAGACTATTAAGTTAAAGAGATAACAGAGAAAGCACTGTCCTTGCCATGCCAAACCTCATCAAAGTGATGTCCAGTACCACAATATTCTCAAATCCAAAATAGTGGGCAGCATGACCAATTAATTCAAATTGTGTTCATGAGTCACAAGAGGCAGAGATGAGAAGTATGGGTGGTAATCACCAGGGATATCTCAATCATAGAAAATTTATTCATTGGGATGGAATGATCACATTACACTGGGTCTAACGTCTTGGGGAAGATGCTATAAATAGATAGATGGTTTGTAAACCCCCATAGAAAGGGTTAAGGCCAGATATCTAATGGCAGTGGGCTAAGGAAGTCAAAATCAGAACCCATGTGCCGGAAAGCTGAAGATTCCATGAGGAGCAGTTAAATAAGTTGTGTTTAGGATTAACAGCAGAATTCACTAACATAAGCATCCATCATACATACTATGGCCTAATATGTTTTGGGTCATATCATGTTGAGATGAGAACATGGAGAAGACAGCTCAGATTTCCAGCCTCATGGGCAAAACTTACTTCAGATTCTTTGTACATCAAGACTATGATAATGAAGTTCAAGACTGAAGGCATTGCCAAGATTATATAAAGGCATGCTGCTTTTATATCTGTGTTGTTGTGACATAATATCTTTTCTACAGTATGCCAAAATAAATTGGCTCAAAAATTTTTGTAGGTGGATTTACATCACTATTTCTCAAAGAGTAACACTGACACATCTGCTCAAATATATTAATTCATTTATTTTGGCTTATTCATTTCTATGTGAACAGGAAGTTCCCATGTCAATGTGTACATCCACCCACATTATTTCCTTACAAGATAGACTATCCTTGTGTTTGTACATGAATGAACATTGACAGGTGCCAAACATCCATTCTGCTGGCCTGGAGGTACTCTAGCTGGCATGAGCCTGGCAAACATGGCTCTGTCAGGCCTTTCCCTTCTCCCTGATTCCTTCTGTTTTGCTTAAAAAGAAAATCCAACTACTTTCCCAAAGATAGCCACCAAGGTCTGTTCCTTTATTTGGCCACCTCCTGAGGATGACTACCAAGGTCCAACTATCAAAGTCCAGCAAAAATCTCCCTTTAGCTCACCTAATTAACATGTCTAATTAAAACTGAACACTTCATCCTAGCACAGAGTTTCCCCTTGTACCTTTATAAAGCATCATTTTCCTACGGGCCATATCTGTCTCTTTATTCAGAGGCAATGTTTTGCCCCCTTGGGACAAATACCCCTTACTCCTCACTCACTTGCCCCTTTTCTCCTCCTGCCTTGTTTCCTTCCCCTTCTCCATCTTCCTCTATCTATTGTCTTTGTCCATTATCCCTGCCCTCTGTCCTTCTGTGGAAAGTACATCTCCTCTGTGTTGAGAACTCAGTTGTGGGATCCTGAGCCGATACCATTCCTTTCATGAGCTATACCACACAGTGAGTAAAACTATGGTTTGCCTCATACTGGTAGTTTTACAGTGAAATATGAAGTGAGGAAAGAAGTGATAACCTCATTTTATAATTGACTAAAATGTAATTATAGTGAACCTAACCTATTATTAGTAATTCAATGTGGGTAATGAAGAAGATTCTTGCTCACCAGTACAATTTAAAAATATATAGCCCGTTGGCATGTGTGTTGTTCTCACTATGACTCTTAGCTTAATTTGTCAATAATTAATTGCTGTCTTTTGTGTATAAAAGGTCAGTCTGCCTCCAGGAGCTGGGATGAAGATGCAGACTTGTTAGCATCGATCCTATAATCTACTGAAAGAATTCTAGTCCTGGAAAAAGTACTAATAACTTCAATCATGGTGTGTAAACTATCCAAGAAGTCATAGCCAAGTCTTGAGAAAATAAAGTAACATTCATTTTCAACCCAATAAGGTGGTTGTAAATATTAAACTGAGAAGCATAGTCTGCGTGGAATGAAATTAAGGGATGAGAGACTCTTTCTCAGGCTGTTCACAACTTTACTGAACCAACTCTCATAATGGAACCCTAAAGAATATTAGCTGGCAGAAAGGATGTGTTTTACAAGTGAACACTTTCTGAAAATATTAATGTTTGGAAAACTTTTCCTCAAATTTCTTCTATGCCTTTCAGGGATGCACATTCTTAGATGTTTAGGGATTATTCTACTGGCACTTGCATTCCCTGTAGCTCTCCATTTCACATAACAAAGGTACTGTGCTTGCCCTTAGAAGCATAGAACACACACACACACACACACACACACACCACACACACACACACACACACACACACACCACACACTCACACACACAAAGAGTCAATAGGGGGCTGGAGAGATGATGGCTCAGTGGTTGAGAGCACTGGCTGCTCTTCCAAAGATCCTGAGTTCAATTCCCAGAAACGTTGTGGTAGCTCGCAACCATCTATAATGAGATCTGGTACCCTCTTCAAGCTTTCGGGCAGAACATTATATACTTAATAAACAAAATAAATATTTTAAAAATAAGAAATAAAAAAGTCAATAAACACAGGGATGAAGGATTAATCTAATTAACCTTAATCAATAAAAACCAGGAGTCTGATATTGGAGTAGAAACTTGGAAGAGTAGAGAATGTGGAGCAGCTACAAGTTTTCTCCTTTCTCAGTCCAAAAGGGGCCCAGATCTTTTCTC